GTTTCACTGTGCCCACCTTGGCCGTCCAATTCCTTAAGTTGAATTTCCAGCAGACGTGCGCACCTGGTGATCAGCCGCTTGCTGCTGCATCTCATGTGTTCAAACTCTTGTCTTTGTTGTTCGTTTCGTTTTGTGCAATTCTGGAATGAACTCCACAGGAAACATGGTGGTGATACATGTAGGTACCTTGGCCTCAACTCACGAATAGTTGAGATAGCCTTCCTGTAGCCTTCCTGTGTAGTGAGATCATAACCATTGTGTATCCCGAGTGCAAGTGCAGTACCTCCAAACTCCCTGACAGCCTGGCACAAAGGACTATCCCAAGGAGCACACACTTCTATCAAATCAATTCGATGACCTCCCACCAAGCCTTCAAACGTCCTGTCACCTTCATGAACGTTGTTTTCAACATGTTTCAACATCTTGTTGTGCTGTTTCGTGTGGAGTATGCTTTCCGGGTAATCCTGATCACAACTCAAACATTCTTGATGAGTCACAGCGTTTCCATCTTCCTTAAAATCAATTCCACTCAAGGCTATCAAGCTAAGATCAGCTTGTCCATTGCAGCCTTGGTGGAGCTGTTCCTACTCGTCCACCGTGCCCTGATCTCCAGTGTCGGCCTCATCGAAGGCCTTCTCTACATCTACACTGGCCGTCTTGTGCGGCAAGTCGGCATCTTTCCGGCTCAAGGTGTGGACTGCCTGGTCGATGTCTTCTTCTTTCACAAACAGCTCTTGCAGCGCGTCATAATGACCAGCGAAAGCCGTCAAGGGGAGCATCAGATGGTTGCTCTCTGTGCGCTCCAACTGTACTTGTCGATCACTCAGCTTCAGAAACACGGCTTTGCCTGTCCGGAAGTTGATGGTTGCATCCATGTCATAGAGAAACTTGGATGACAGCAGAAATGGCGTCTTTCCTTCAACCAGATGTGATTGGATCGTCACCTCTTTGCCACAAATACCTGCATTCACATGTGACAAGCCCAACCCAGCTGATGACTCTCCATTTCCAAAAACAAATCGTTTGTGGATTTGTCTGTCAACAACAATCTCTGTCTGTGGATCGAATTCCAGTTCTTCCAAACATTCCGCCAACTCTTGTAGTGTCTCTGCACCCACAATGTTGTCTGAAGCTCCAGAATCCACAATGGCCTTCCCTCGAAATGCGGCTGGCTGTAGTGCCAAGACCTGTCCGGTTGCCGCCTCCTGAGAACACAACACCCATGATGGGTCATTGATGACCTCTTCCGGTGTTGGGGTCATGTTCCCATTGACGGTCTCACTGATTGGCACGTTGGTCATGATCTGAACCTCCGGATGTGCCTCAGTGGATGATGATGAATTGTCATCATTGCACCAACCCACATATCCAATGCTGTTGCTCCCACTGCTTGCTGGTTTTTGTGGACAACGCTTTGCTGTATGCCCCTTTTTCCCACAGCGAAAACAGATTCGCTCAGCATCTGAGGTTGGTGCTTTGCTTCTTGTGAATGAACGCATCGACTGACTTGCCTTTCCCCTGAACTGTCCTTGTCCAGGAGGTTTCACTGGATAGAAGCCACGTGCTGTTCTAGCTTGATCCAAGGCTCGTCGAGCTTCCTTGAAATTGGCCAAAACTTCTGCACTATCCTCTGTATCTGCGAGCAGCTCTGCGGTGGCGTCTTCACACCATTCTTCCAGTTCAAACATCTCCTCGGTCTCTTCTCCATCCATGTCAGCCTCCGGTTTGTCGATCACCTCATCTTGATGATAAGCTTGTCCTGTAGCATGGGTCTTCTTTGGTCGGAGTTCGGCATCACGACTTCCCAGACCTCCACTACTCCACATCAACCTGAGGGCTGTCAGGACATCGTCAACCTTGTAGGAACTGGCCTTTCCACGAATGTTGGCTGTATCGGAGGGCGACATCCTCATGAAGACATTCAGAAGGAACCACCCGTACACCTCAGGTGGCATCTTTGCACTTGAGTTTGTCTCTGCAATCGCTCGCTCCATCCGACGCAGAAGTGTCTTGAACCTTGTCTCGTAATCATTGATCTCCTCACCATCCCGTCGGCAAGCTTCTTTGCGCAGGAAAAACTCTGTAAATGTATCACCCAAAATGTCCACTTTTGCACGACCCCTTGTGTCTTCCAAAAAGGTCAACAAATAATGCCATCCCTCAGCCTTTTTCAACTGCTCTCTTTTGACTTCACCCAGCGTTTCAAATGCCTTGCCCACCAAATTGGCTGCCAATCGAGGTCCTAGATATGGCAGATCTTCTGTCTTGCAGGCGTCTGCCCGCAACTCCACTCGGATCTTGTAGTCCTCGTAGGTACTCCAATTTCCGTCCCACCACGGAAACTTTGGATCGACCATCCCCTCATATTCCTTTGGAATATTCATTGAGCCCACTCCCCAAACAATGTTGTTGCCAACAACCAATGTACAATGCTAAATGTCGCTCCCTGCAACACCAATGCACAACAGTTCAATGTCAGCTTCAACAATGTAAAAACTCAACACCACAAGCCCCTCGGAGCGAGAGGCTCCGCTACCATGTAAATTCGGTAGGGAGTCTCAAGTCCAACACAACAACTGGTCACCTTTCTCACACAACCAAATCCGAGCACAAACGTTGGTTTTCCGACAATGCTATGGCGGCAAGGTCGATGGAACGTCAGGCTATACAATCTAAGATCAGGGCACGTCTCGGGCCCAAACACCATGGATACGCTTTCGGTCAACATACACAATCAAATTCACAGCCTCCAACCTAATACTGTAGCAAACTATATACATATCAGAATGGATCAGGGGATCCCGAAGTGGTACTCTTTGGCTCCGGTGTGCTTCGACAGCCTGTTCCGCCAATGGCTCATCACGTAGTTGGCCCTGCACCAGGGTATAGGCCTCACGTCATTTAGCATTCCTGAGGGTATAGCTGCATAGACTAGTAGCAAGGACGCTATTAGGTGGAGGCCATCGCAAGTAGGTTGGAGGCCATTGCTACTAGTAAGAAGAAGCTACTAGTAGCAAGGATGGGTATTAGGTGCTGAATCTTCTCGTCGCCCCACCTAAACCTGCACTGATGTAGGCACCTCTCGCTCATCACTTTCAGTGCCTTGGACAACAGATCGAGACATTGAGTGGTGGCACTGCTGGTGTACTCTTTTGTCCCTGGCCTAGGTAGAGTTTGTGCCTCCATGAACTCTTGCGTGGACCTGATCTCAATTCCAATCTGAATCCCTTCAATCTGGCTTGAACGAATCTGGTCTTCAGGGCGGGGTGCCGGCCCAATGCACGATCTTCTTGAGCGTTCCATTTTTGTAACTTGATCGTAATCAACGCTTACCTGATGTGAGGAGGTGGATCTTCTCGCCTTTCTCCCAACAGCAATCCTGCCCGGCTCATAGTTTCCATGCAATAGGCCCTTGCGACCGCTGCGCAATAGCTGCTGGAGGCTTTGGCGCTGCCTTTTTTGCCGCTGCCTTTGGCTGAGCTACCTCTTCATCAGTTGCTGCATGTTGCTGCCAGGTGTAGCCCTGCCATTTTCTTTCTTCTCGATATTATGTGGATGTTTCAGGCGGATGCGACCAATTTTCGAGGTATCCTCTCCACCTCGATGCCTGCAGCCTGAATCGCCTTGTGTTGGTCAGGCGAATGATACTGGTGTCAAGGAGCCTCGCCCTGGATACAGCCAGCCCGCAGTCGCTGAGCGGTGCTGCCGCATTCTCTTGTGGTTCATCCCCTGCTGTGTACTCCTCCTCCCCGCCGCATTATTCTTATATTTTCTTGAAGTGAATTAGTGAATACCCTTGCACGGTCAAACTTCATCCTCCTGAGCGCCTGGATGGCATTGAATTTCGCGTGCCAGTACCGCCACTTGCGTCGCGAAGGCATGACGTCTCTCTCTCTCTCTATATAATTAATATATATATATATATTATATTACACAACTGACAGCCAGGGTGTGGATCTCTGAACAAAAGGGACCGCCCTTGGTCTTCAATCGGTTTCTTTTCCATCGGTTTCTTTTCCTCAGTGTTTCCTGAGACGTTAGTTGCCAATCACGAAGCATTTCGTTGGCATGTCCGTTTGGATGATGTTTCGATCGAATCGACACTGCTTTGCTTCATTTCCTCTACTTTTCCCTCTACTTTTCTCCTAACCAAGCGAAGGAAATCATATCTTCAGCTCTGAGAAGCAAAGTGCATCGATCTCTTTCTTCACAATGCTTTCATATCGTCACTGCTCGATGAACTCCATCACCTTCTCGATGAACTTGTTTCTTCCCCTCAGAATCCAACACCTCAGCGACGATTTCCTCGATTCCTTGGCGCGGCCACCCAACTAACTCCTCAAACTCTTTCCCAGACACCTATCTCCAGAAACAACAAACGCGCAGCCCATTTCCGGACGTGAAACGCATGCAAGGCAAACAAGTAAAACAAGTCTTGTACAGCTTTGGTTTCCTAGATGCAACGATTACAACACCCATTTGGCAGACATGTGAACCTTTTTTGTGGGCGACCTTTGCAACCCATTCTTGATGCGCTTACAAACAGTCGCTTCCCCAAGATCATCCTATGCCATGTTTAGTGACATTTCAGTGCTCTTCACGTGTCTTTGCCCATTTCCTCTTTTGGTCGTACAAACTCAATTCGTTGCTTCTTTGAGAAGTCAGCAAACATCATCAACCATATCATATCTCGATGACCAAAATGATTCACTGTCCGTTTCCTGCTGGCTCTTACATGCTCGGTGTTTCGCCTCACCGTTTGCCTACCACATGTTCCCATTATAATTTGATCATGCCTGCCCAGGCAAGCCCCAAGCTTACTCGGATTCTGACAAAATACCTATTGAACGGCGTGTTTTGGGAATAGTGCGACCGTTTTCTGCGACCCGTTCTGACGAACAGAGGGTGTTCGTGGGGATACCCAAACTTTAAGTGATAAGATACCGACTTGGAAGCGTTGGAACTCCGTTGGAAGCTTCTGCACATTGGAAACGCTGGAGGCGCCTCCTGACGAAGCTGCTCACCCGCTGGCCTTCTTGGAGCATGTGATTACCTTTGTGATTATAGCAAATGCGGCTCCTCGGGTTGAGGGTTGTGTATAGTGATGTCGGTGTGGGATTTGTGCCAAGAACACTTGGAATATGTCACCTTCACAATTGGGGCATTGTGAGAAGATTTCAAGGTTTGTCTCGGCTTCATGGCGGATCCTCGCTATGGCGACTGGAATGGGTGGCAGTTCGTGGAGCTCTTTTTTGCAGTCTTCCTGCTGATCGAGATCCTTGTTCGCTCCTATGCCGAAGGACTGCAACCCAAGTCTGAGTGGTTCTGCTTTGTTGGACTGGCAAATTACCGGACCTTACGATTTCACAAGCCTACTTTTTATACTGTAGTCTCCCCCAAGCAGTTGCTGCTACCATCAAGTTCTCAACATTTTGGTAAAGAATGGCAAAGACATTGTGCTCAGCAGTGCTCCTCTTCCGGTTAGGATGCAGTCTCTATTGGTGTGGGGCAGAGCTGCTTGGTGGCAGTTCTGTACACACACACACACACCGCAGTCGAGACATCACATGTGCAGGTCACCGCAAAGTGACCGAAACGGGCCTTGAGAGTTAAATCATGTACACGAAGTGCAAATCGTGGCAGATTGCTAGATTCATCTCGGTTCATGACCACTGCAAACTTGTAAAGGAGATGGTGGAACTTTTTTGATATGACGCTGGCTTCTTTGTCATGGATTGACCTCCTCATATCTCAGCTGGACAGCCCGTCGCGCGTTTTACATGTTTTTACAACAGTGTCCGGCGGCTTTGCATGGTAGCGCTTCATCTCAGCGACTTGATGCTGCAAACGGAAAAAATAGAAACGTGGTTCGAGTCTGAGTGACCCAAATTTGATGAGCTCAAAAGGGAAAGGGGAAGAAGTGGAAGGAATGGAAGAAGTGGAAGAAGGCTAGGACAGCAAAAGGCTTGGAATAGCTCTTCGAGTTACGCTGGCTATGCCGCGAACGCCTTGCCGGTTTCAAGAAAAGCCTGCCGCTACGCCGTGAAGGTTACACATTCGCCCAAATTCCCAAAGACCACGCCTTGATGCCGCTGAGAATTGGCATGTTCTTCATGCAATTTGTTGATTGAGATTTGTTCTTTGAGGGACGCTTTCTTTGATGGTCTTTCGCTGGTCCTTTTCAATTTGTTGATACTTTCCCCTTGGGCTTTTCTGTGTCCTCATACAGAGCTGCAACAGTAAACACCTTATCTTGCAAGCGCAATGCGTATTTTGTTCATTACTTTTGGCCTCTGATTGTGCTCACGTTATCTACTTGACACTTTCCACCTTTGATGGTCTCACCTGTTTTTCTGCACAATTTACCGCTAACATTCAAGCCACACCTCTCGCGGAAAGATCATGTTAGAATGAACATGCTGTCTTTAGAGTTCTGATTCTTCATGCTATTGTTGTTTTGCACTCACTTCTTGCTTCGCTTGGAAAAAGCGTTTGTCATGCGAACTCCCCCACCGTTGTCTCACAAGAACTGCGTCTAGAAAAGGTGCAGTTTGCTCATTGCAATCCATGTATCTATCTATCCGTAGTTGGTCGGTACTCTGACTATGTGTTCTTTTCTACGACATTGCTCCTGTTTAATAGCAGTGTTTAAGGCCTTGAGCTTGGCCAGAATGTGGAAGCAAACATGTCAGAAGGTTTTCAGCAGCCTTCCCAACTGCTTCTCACAAGCAAGGATGCTTCTAAAGGGCACATTGTTTTTTTTTCCAAGAGATTCATATTAAACCTAGGATTCTTTCCCTACTAGGTTGGAGGCCATCGCTCTTAGGTTGGAGGCCATCGCTACTAGGAGCTCAAAGATCATGTCAGGAGTCCCAGAGCTCAGAGCTTTTCGTCGCCTCCTTTCTGCGAATATGCCGGTTGATTCGATTAGTGCGGGTGATGCGCATCTTCCGTCTCAAAGCCTTCAAGGAGCTGTGCAGCATGTGTCACTCTAGAGTAACAAGAAAGAAATTCAACCAATTATGCACGATTTTGGCGCTTTGTAATCTTTTTGGAACAGCTTCTTGTCTCTAGGAGCTCCGCCTCATGATCAAAGGATTGTTAGCTGGCCTGTGGATGCTTAGACATGTCAGTGGAATTAGCAATGATGTAAATGTATGTACATGTGTATCATAATATATCATACTATCAACATCTCAGCATCTCTCTTGTGATTGACACAAAGGTAGCAACAAAAGATCCTCCTTCCCTCGCACAGCCGCGTGCGTTTTCCACTCACAGCTCACCTGAAGGTTGGTACGAACGGTCGGGCGCCTCGCCCTGCAGTGTCCTCACTGCTTCTATGGCTCAGGTCACGGGTGACCCACCCTACACCACCCTTGCGGCCTCGCACACTCGTGGCTTCGGACGTGAACACACCTGAGTGGGTCAAGACTGGTTCCTCAGTGACCGAAAGGTTCGAAATTCACACTCATCAAAAATTCTATCAATCTTTTTTCTTTGGTTGTGTGTCGATCATCCTTCTTGCTGCTGGTCTCCCATTAGAGGGATCCCGGACTCAAGCCACCTAAGGCGTGTTCTGCTGTCAGCTCGCTCTTTCAGCACTTGCAGTTCGTCATTTAGTTGATACATGCCTCGTTGCAAAGTGTATCGGAGGAAAGTTCCTTGCATCACCTTAGTTAGTGCATCAGCGAGCTGAGCTCCTGTATGAACCCATCTTAATTGAATGCCTTCGGATAGCAAATCTTTTATCGCCTTTGCTTGAAGTTGTGTACGGAATTCCTGGCAATTTGGTTGAGCAGTTCGGGTAACCAAATCATACAAAGATTTGCAATCCGTGACAGCTACTGATCGTGGCAAACACTGGGCTAAGGCTGTGGTAGATTGGATTGGTTTGGGTTCACTCTTAAAAACCTCATGTGGTCGTTTCCAATTGACTTGGGGATTTTGGATCCATGCCCAATAGAGTCTCATCCAAGATAGCTGGTCTAAGCTTGTTTGGAGCGAAGTTGTTTCGGCTGACAAAGTACTCGTAACTACTTTCTGGATCTTGCGGCAACCCCAGGACAACGGGCTGACTGGGCATTGATAGTTCTCACTTATATCCCTATGGGTGGCCAAGATGATCATGCCTGTGTGACTTTCGGGGCTCTTGGCCGACGCAAATGATGCGTCCGAGAATAACAAGAATCTGAGATCCTTGATTGGGATGGGTTGGATTCTGATGCATGTGTCTTTGTATCGTTTTGCTTCATGAAGTACACGGTTGGCATCGTGCAACGTTTGGACCGTGGCTTTGTTGATCTCACTTTGGATGTAGCTTAGTCGACTTGAAAGATCCGGTCTCGTGTTGATGCTCGCGTACTGAAGACTTCCCACAAGTGCACGGAGCGAGTGTCTCTCTTCGGAGGTCACTTCATCCGTCAGACATGTTCGTCTGCTTGCATTCATGTGGATTGGCTCAATCTTGCTTACATACTTGGATTGGGACATGATGATACTTTTGTCTGCCTGTTGGTTCATCTCAACACCAGTGAACGTGAATTGACCTACTTTCTTTGATCCAAATGGGAATTTGGCTTCTAGCTTTGAGATTTGTTCTTCAAAGTATTGATCTCCTCCACCTAGTCCATCGTCAACATGAACTCCTAGGACCCCCGAAATTTTGCTTTGTCCTGGTTTGTATAGTACGTATGCGCATGGGTCGAAGGGTGCTGGAATGAAGTTCAAATCACGAAGGGTCCGATCCAATTCCTTATGCCACAAATAAGGAGCATCGATCAAACCGTAGGCTGATTTTTCGAGTTTGCAGATTTGATTGGGTTGAAGTTTCAATGCCTTTCGAAGTTCTTCAACAGGTTCCAGGCCTAGAACTCGATCTTCCTGCGTTTTGCCTTGCAAAAATGCAGCTTTGATATCGAAGCTTTTCAGAGTCCATCCCATGGATGATATTGCTTGCAACAAGAGCATTTTGGATTGCTTTCCAAGTGTCGGCGAGTCCCGGGGTATGCTGTCTAACTGGGGATCTTGATATCCAAGGACTACTAGACGTGCTTTCGGTTTATGGGTCTTTGGTCCTGGTCTGACGTTCTCAGTTGATCCGGTTTGAAGGTCGTCAGCATCAAGGGGTTTCCATACGCATATCCAGCGGCAACGCATTACCTGTTCCGGACACAGCTGATCCCGAAAGATTTTACTCACCGTCCCTGTGTTTAACCAATTTGTGATCTCCTTTTCCTTTGCTTGACGGAAGAGAGCTTGTTCTTCGGTGGACAATTGGTGCATCTTTACTTCTGTTCGGTCACGCTTGGTGGTGGTAGTCATCATGATAAGATCTGTCGCTGATGAGTTTTCATCCCATTTCATCATTGTTTCTTGGGGAAACAGGAATTCAGCTTTCCATCCTACGGCTTCTGAGTCTATTTGGGTTTGGCACCAGTTGACCTGATCTTCTACACTTAGTAGGCTTAGTAGGGAGTCACATACGAGTTCATCACTGAGATCGGATGCTTCGCTTGGGACCGGCACGCTTGCTGCATCCTGATGACCGCCGGGGTCGCTCGGCAATTCGATGCTTTGTCGGCTCGCTGGAGACACTTGACTCTCTGGAATCGAGGGCTCTTGATCTGGCTGGACCTCTGACGAATTCGATGTGTTTCCTGTTCCTACGTGTTGTGGGATTATATTGCTATCTTCTTGGCTCTCTGGTGGAGTTGCGGGTGCTTGTCCACGAATGTTGGCATTTTGTGTATCTTCGTCTTCAATCCCTGCGATCGGACTTAGAGCTCGGGGGATATGCTGGGCTTCCACGGCACTTACGGGTCGAACATGTTCAGGGGCTATCTTTACCAAGCTTCCTGCGTGATTACACCAAAGACAATGGGGACCTTCTTGTTGGATGACTCTGGCTGGACCAAACCACCCCCGTTGGGTTGGAGTCTGTCTCCATAGCATCACCCAAGTTCCCCTGTCATAGGATCCTCGGTGAGGACAGCTTCGCCGGAGAACAGCTCTTCGCAACGCAGAGCTGTTGTCTGCACAGTGAAAAGCTCGTCGTGCAGCTTCGCGGTATGCCAGCTTTTCTCGAAATCTGATTCCTTCCTGGGTGTCATCGTCTGCCAGGAGGTGCGATGGCAATTGCTCGTCCGATGAGATTGATGCTGGAATTCTGGACCCTTTTCCAAAAACAAGAGTTTCTGGGGAGTATCCCTGTTTCTGGCTCAGTGCATTCTTGGCAGAAGTGCAGTGCGATAGTGCTGTCTGCATGACGTTATTGGATGTTCCTGTTCATACTTCTTGAGCATTTCCTGTAGGATTCCACCATGTCTTTCTACTTTTCCGATTTGCCAGTGTGCACCTGGTGGGGTAACTATTGCTTTGATGTTGAACTGGCCTAGAAAAGTGACAAATTCCTTGGATGTGAATTCCGTCCCTGAGTCTGTGTGAATCTCAATCGGAGCCCCTGCCCATTGGAGCCATCCATTGAGCACCTTGTCCATGCATCATCACTGCTTTTACCTGGGCTTGCACATGCTACCTGGTAGTTTGTTCCATAGTCGATGATGTGATAGAAGTGGAAGTTGGTTCCTGCCAGATTCGTGTATACAACACCATCTATCCCAATACAGTCGTTGAAGTCTAGCTCACGTTTGATTGTAGAAGGTCTTTGATGTTTGGGTTCCTTAGTATTCTGACATACGGAACAACTTAGGTCCATGGCAGCTTGACACAATCGGGGTGAGTACCCCTGTTGACGCAGCATTGAACACAGCTTTTGACCATGAGGGTGTCCTAGGTTCTGATGCAATTTCAGCAAGAACGATTTTTCTTCGGCTGATATGGTCTTGAACTTTGGGCCATGGTCAAAACTCGGCATATGGAGTTGACTCGAACTCGCTCCTGTCTCTTTGGTCTGTTCCGGATCCAGCTCTGTGACAGGTGCTTGGTCACTACTTGGCAGGCTGACGGTTGCCTCCTGCGGCTCGATGTTTGTTCCCGTTGCCTCGGGACTCATATTCTGTTTGGTCGAATCACCTGATGCTTCTGACTTGGATTGGGGCAAACATGCATACATTGTGATATTGACTCTTGCGGGATGTGCTGGGCGGACTTGCTGCCGATGAGACAGGTCTTGCCAGTATTCCCAGTCCTTTTCTACTTGGATTACCCCCCTATTCGGCTTACGATGATGGCACGACGATATGGGGCCTCATTCTTTACCAAATCCCTTGGCGGTGGCAATGTTCGATCTGATCCCTTACATGCTTGAACTTTCTTGATTTCTTTTTCGGGGAACATGTTTTGAAGCCTCTCCAAGATTTGGTGGTTTGTGATAAAAGTCTTCCCTACTCTTGGCAACATTGGTTGGATGTCCTTGATGATTTCTTCTAGTTGTCTCTGAGGTGACATGTTCATACTCTGCGATTCGGCCGTCTTGCCGTCAATGCGGCGGCGCTTGCACTCGTTCGACAATTGCTCCAGGGGTGTTGGTGGCAGTCGCCCACCTTGGGACTTCTGCATGGGAGAACTCACACGGATCCGCTTGGATGCACTTTCCTCACTCGGTTGATGTATTCCTCTGGTTACAAGGGCAGTAACCCATGGCTCATGTTTCACTTTCAACATCACCTTAGCTACTTGTCTTGCAAACTTTCTTGGATAGTTCTCTGTATAGCTACTGACGGTGATTCTCCCGAGAGGCGTTGTCACGGATCCGGCAATGGGTCTGTGCTCATGATCTCGACGACGCACCCGGCCATGCAACGAGGCATACATCTCTTGCGACGTCGTTCTTACAGCCATCTCCTTTTGTATGAGTTTGTTCGTTTCTGGACATGTCAACTGGCCTACGCGACACATGTCGAAATTGGCTTCCTGAGTATATGAATACAGCTCTTGCAGGAGTGGATGATGGATTTTCGTGGCTGCTCCCAGTGCATGTGGTTTCCTAGCTGACGTGACATGCGAAGCAAGACTACTCCTAGTGCAAGTTCGAACAAGTGTGACTCTCTCTCTCTCTCGTTGAACATGTTCACACAATTGGATTGATCTCATTTCATTGAACGTGTTCCATGCGCTCCATGGTCCACAGGTGGGACTGAACCATATGTGACGGGGTCTTTGTTTCCACACCATTTGAAACAGAACACTTCTCCCCTCCTTGGTTTTGAGGTCCCCCTGCGCCCTTCCAAAACGGTTGGCTCTGCCGCCCAGCAATTGGACTTGCTTTGTCAGTTCACTGGCCTCATGACAAAACACTTCCAGCAAATGTAGACGGCTGCATCCGTTCGAGATCACTGGATCACACCTTGCTAGACTGGCTTCCTTTGAGATTTGCTGAACCAGCGCATGGAATTTATGGGACAGACTGTGAGTCTTACCTGGACTGACATCTTTTTGGCACATGGACGATACATGTATATCAGCTTCCTCGAAGGAGTCTAGATGAAGCCCGGAGGTGGGCAATGATCTCCTGCATCGCACCTTCGATGGTCTGAAGGCGGGTGTCCATGGCTGCCATCTCCGTGTAGATCTCTGGATCTCGATCTCCTGAACTGGTTCCCAGGATTCGTCCTCGGCAAGATCTGCCAAGTCCTGTGGGGTCACTTCCTGAATCGGCTTGGCCTTGGCCTTGCTCTTGAGAGCCGGATGAAGTGGCCTCTGACTTGGTGATGGCTGCAGGTCTTGACTGTTCAGACCCAGTTGGTGCTCGGCATAGGTCACCCTCAGTGAGACGTAGTGGATGAACTTCTGATGGTTGACCTTGTTCGACGAGTGGTAACTTGCCTGGAACCACTTCACATACTTGCCCTCCTTTTCCCACATCTCCGAGTAGGTCCGACCGAGATGGGCTGATCCGAAATCGATCTTGGCTTGGCCCATTTCGTCCAGTGATAGGAGCTTGAAGGCTTCGAGCTGATCGAGGGCTTCTTCCTTCTTTGCTTCCCCCATGACACGTGCCAAGCGGGCACTCAGAGCGGCTGCTTCGGAGGTCGGCATGATAGTGATGCGGCACAGGTGAACGAATGGGATGGTCACACGTGTGTGATTGCACAGATCCGGTCTTGAACCCAAAACGGATGACACCGGGCTGGACCCCCCCTGGAACCGATTCGAATGAGACTTTCTCACCCCCGCGAACACTCGGACGTTCGTTTGGTTTCTTTGTGTTCGTATGGGTCTTTGTTGATTCGGGCATGGCGGCTTCGAATTGTTGGATTCTGCTTGTTACAAGACCTGTCCTCACCTGAACGTTCTGTTTCATCATGGTCTTGGTTTCCGACTGAACTTGTCCAGGCTTCTGGACAGAGACACTTGGCAAGCTTTTGCAATTCAAAGTGGCGAAGGTCTCGGCAGGTTCAGCTTCGGCATCTTGACTGGTGGGTGTGATCAGATCATTTAGATCAACTAAAAACAAACCCTTGGCATTCAGCTGAATTGGAATATTGCGCTTCAAGAGAGTGCTTTTGATCACTTCACCAGCTATATCTACGGTGGCTCCGATGGCTCGGAGCAGAGTATTCGACAGCAGAAAAGGTGTATGGCCTGGCACTATGGCAATCTTGAGCTTCAGCGGTCCGATTGGGACAACGAGTGCACGCTTGCTTTCAAGTGTCCCTTGATTCCCAAACCGAAAAACCACTGAGCATACGAAACCGCTTCCTATGACGGTCTTAGTAGCACCTGTATCTACGATTCCCAGGGCATCGCGAGTTGAAAAGCTCGAGAATGCACTGGCTTCGGTGTCATGCATCGACTTGGCTTCAGGTGATTGGGCGGTGCTAGCAAACGCACTCTCTGGCAAGCTAGTCCTGACATCAAAATTCTCACACTCGGTGATCATTTCCCCTTTGTGGGCTAAATCAATGATTTCCCCTTCATTGGTCTCCCACAAACCCCTCAGAACACCGGTGTCCCTTGATTCACAAACACACAAAACTTGTTTCGTATTCTCTTGAGTGGCGTTGAGCGTCTCTTTGGTCAGCTCTGGCAAATCCATGAACTCCAGTGGCAGCGCGTCCTGCTCATCATTCACTGTCACCAGTGTAGGAGCAACAGCTGTCGATGGGACCGACTGAGATCCACGTTGCGGGCATTCAGCCTTCCAATGGCCTTTTCGGCCACAAATCCTGCAGCTGCTCTCCATGATCCTCTGCTGGAGGCTCTTTCTATTGCCAGAAAACTTTGAGGAGTAGGGGGATCGCTTTCCTTTTTCACCCCCTTTCCCTTTTCCTTTGCCTTTGTTCTGACTTGTTGGCCAGAACCCACGGCTTTTGAAGCGCTCTGACAGGCGGCGACGGGCATCCATGTATGATGATTGTGTCAATGCTAGATCTTCGTTGTCTTGCACTGCGTCCAACATTGTGGATTCATACTCCATGATCATGGCGGCGTCCTCGTCACCATCATTTGCAAGACTCTCAATCCATTCTTCCTCGGTCCAATCATCGAGATTGTAGGTGGGCTCGTCGGGTGCTTGGTCGTGACCATCAGCTTCTTGGGCAATGAACGCATTGGCCTCATAGGTTTTGGTCCTTCCCCAGGAGCTTCAGATTGGATACCACCTCTCTGTACTCCAGTGAACCCTGTGATTCAGTAATCAGTCTCTTCTTGTCTTCTGAGCTCAGGGCTGAGTTGCGAAGCAAGATGTATGCACGAAACTCATCCACGCCGACCTTCATGCTCAGCAACTCTTCGAATTGATGATCGTGCCGAGCTAGATAGCTCTCATGGGTCTCGTCGGCTCTTTGGACCGTGCTGTAGATTGCACGCTCAAACCTTTCAAACTTGTCCTCCAATCGGGATTTTCCCCAAATCCCTCCAAGGGCCTCCACGATGGCCTTCACTCCCTCCAAGTTTCCAACACGCAGCTTCTTTGGGTCCAGTCTGGCAACTCTCTGAAAGGCTGATCCCTCACATTGCAATGCAACTCGTGGGGCAAGCAGGTGTAGTTGTTCTGGAGGCCATAGTGATGCCAGGAACTCTACTTTCCGTGACCATTCAGTGAGGTCCGTCTCACCAGGCTTGAAAGATGGAACCTGGCTCCATGGGAGATTGCTCAAACCTCCTGTGGAGGAACTGGAGCCAGCTGAATCACCTTCCGGTGGCATTGGGCTGGTTCCTCCCTGGAAACCGCAGCTCAACAACTCTGTGACAACACCACCAAGACAATGTGCAACCTGTCGACTGCCTTGCGGCCAAACAACGTATTCACCGACTCAACCACGCAGTCAACAACAACCAAGCACAAGGGTCAGGTGTTGTCTGGAGCTTTAGCGGTAGCTCCGCTACCAATGTGATTGACACAAAGGTAGCAACAAAAGATCCTCCTTCCCTCGCACAGCCGCGTGCGTTTTCCACTCACAGCTCACCTCAAGGTTGGTACGAACGGTCGGGCGCCTCGCCCTGCAGTGTCCTCACTGCTTCTGTGGCTCAGGTCACGGGTGACCCACCCTACACCACCCTTGCGGCCTCGCACACTCGTGGCTTCGGACGTGAACACACCTGAGTGGGTCAAGACTGGTTCCTCAGTGACCGAAAGGTTCGAAATTCACACTCTCTCTATATATATGTGTAGCGTTCCAGATCATGCTCCCTTGTTGAGTTCCAGAAAGGTCCAGTCCGTCAGCGGTGTAGGTGAGAATGAAGTTCGAAAGATTGCTTCGAATCAGTGCCGCTGTGAGTCTGAAGGCAGTGTGTTTGTCACGCAATTTAGCACACTTGACAACAACTCCGATCAACAATGAATCCTTTTGAACATGTTCTATGACATGCTGCGCATGTCAAAGCCCTTTGGAACCCTAGCCTCGAGTTTGTTATGGAAAGGCGCACATGGAGCGGGCTTGAGGCTTTCTTCCACGTGTGTTGTCGGTGCTCCCATCGTTCTTACTCCTGTCATCAGACCAAGTGTGGAGTTGCGCGCAAGATGCCAAAATAGTTGGTGGGAACTTAGGCGCATTCTTCGCCGCCCTTCATCGCATTTGCTTTCAATTGACGCAAGATTTTGCATTGTACAAAGTGTACACAGTTGCTTCGGTGCTACAGCTTGAACAAACACGTCTGTGAACAATGGTGAGCCCAGGACCCTCCTGCTTTCTTTCACTCTTCTTTTCAGCGTCCTCTACTTGATTGCTGGCTTTACGACCGTGGCTATAGGCCGGATAGGGCTTCATGCCTTTTTGACTGGTTCGCAAGAAAAGTCCTTCAAATGGTGTCAGGTCCAGTTTAGACATACAAGAAGCTACTACTAGCTAGAAGCTTCCTTGGGAATCGTTTCACCTGTAGTAACAAGAAGCTACTAGTAGCAAAGTATCCCGCATTGGGCTGACCACTTTGACGTGAGGTGGTGAGAATCCAAAGACCGCAGCACTGGGCCTGCGAGATCAATTCTTGACCATCCCAGATTCCATGTTCACGGCCTTCCGGTGCTTCACGGGCGATTGCGATTTGGAATGCTTTGGTTTAGTGCAATGCTGTAGAAGAATGCACTTGCATTTGAAAGCATGTTGGGTGGAAGCAATGTTTTCGCATTGGCGATCAATTAATGTTTTGAGGCAACAGCGACCAGGGCGAGCCAATCGCTTCTCTTTTGTTTCACGAATACAAGCTGCCGTTCATGATTTGCTTCGTTATCAGCTACATGCTCGTAGCAATGGGCATTTTCAATGTGATCCTCGCAGTGTGCCTTCATTTGCATGAAGCTGAATCTCTTCTGGGCAATTACAATCCCTAAACCTTCTGGACATGTTTTCTGCGATTTCCTGGCAAGTGAGGTATGTGGACATAACAATGAAGGCCTCTTGTCAGCATTGAAGAGAGTGCGGAGTCCAGAAGTCCGGCTTCCGGTTGACAACTGTTGTAAATGACAAATGAAACAGATCTCTCTAAGGGGTCCTTACCTTCTTTAGTGTCATTTGTTTTGTCATGTTTTTTTCCTCAAGACCAAGCAATAAAGAGACAGAAGGCCACACGTGATACTGATGCTGTGACAGCTTCAGGCTGCGAAAGAGACAGAAGCCCTGACTGCAGAGCAACATGCTCGGGAGTCTATCCGAATTGCACGAACCACACGGGAACTCCTGAAGAAGTTTGCGGCATTCCAGAAGACCTTCCAGAATGATTCCAATGAACCTGTCTCTGAATCTTCAATGGGTGATTTAAACTTCATGGATGAGGAGAAGAGAATCATTGAATGAATGCATTGTAAAGCTGTTTCTACCATCAGGAATTCGCTCGCAAAACCCCGCAGGCTTGATGCAACTGGTCCCTTCCAGTCAGGGTTCACAGAGCCCTAGCGAGCTCTAGCCCGTAAGTCGGCATAAGTTTGGTTTGGAGCTCACCCTGCAGGAGATCAAGGAGGATTTGTCCATCACCAAGGAATGCTTCCTGATGGTCATACAAGACAGGAATCTAGTCAAATAAAATAGCTACTAGTAACGAGGTGCATCGCTACTAGTAACAAGAAGCACCTCAGGTGTCCGCTTTGGGATGTTTTGGGGTCAACAGGTCCTCAGGTGCCCCACTTTGTCCCCCACTTTGTTCTACAGCGGCTCTATTCTTGCGATGACTATGTCGTCTCGTTGAACGTCCCTTCTTTCATTTTCTTTCCCTTTCAACTTGTATTGATTGGCTAGTCATGACCATGGGTCACTAGGCTAGACCAGGGTGTTGGAAAGGGTCCGGGAGACTGGACTACAATCTCTTTCCTGACACTACAGTGCACAATGTATTGTATATTCTGTTCTGGCAATTTAGCTGAGAGGAAGTTACACATAGAAGTCGCAAATCAGTCGCTCGTGGCTTGTCAGGGTCCAAGGAGGTTTGCGAAACTGTGAGCTAGAAACATCCGTTAAGTTTTCAACAAAAAATCTAGGAACCAAATGAACAGTGCGAGCGCTGCGTCCATACTAGTTTGTAGCTTAAGTAAGGTACTAGCTACCTCAATTCCTTAATTTCAGTAGGCAGTCTCTACTTAATTGAGTAGGGAGGAGGGGAGCGGGCTTTAAAAGGAAGACTATATTTAGTATAGCGGACTTAAAAAAAGCCAAGCCGGCGCCTGACGGCATCGAGAGATGTAAAGGAATGTGAAAGAGAGAGACAGAGACCTGGTGCACGACAGCTGAAATGGAAGGTGGCCGACTGAAAAACCCAAAACAGCAAGGAATAACTGGGGAAAACCAACCAGTGGTGTCCAACAGATAGAGCGATCAGTTGATGGTCAGAACCATTCTGTGCGAATTGGTGGAATTTGGATGATTGGTGTCTGTTGTAAACCGTTCATCGTTCTTTTAGGCTGCAGCTGAGCATGCTTCGCCAAGCGCTAAGCATCAACCAGAAGTCACATGAAGTCACCACGCATGTCGGAACATGTTGAGGGAATTCGATCAACATGAGTCGCGAGTCGGCGTATTCCTTTTCTGAACATATTGCCACGTCCAGCTTTGGGCCAATTTTGGGCCGATGGATTCAATCCGAGGACTGTGCAAATTTTGATGGATCAGCTCGATCTGCCACCAGACCGAGCCAACCTGCTGCTCAATTGCAGAGTGCTGTTGGTGATTGACTTGAAATTATGTAAGGGCTGCCGCCCCTGCCGCCGACCCCAGATTCTCAGGGGGCGACAGGCGAGTGAACCCCCAGTGCTTCCAAGCTTCTAAGGATGAACCCCCAGTGCGGGGTTCCCTTTTTGAGGCTCTATACATGAGATTTGGGCACGA